ACATTTCTCATTCTCCACTTACCTATGCCCACTCCTCAATCTATTAAAATCTAGCTTTACTCTCACCATACAGAAACTGTGCTTCCTGTGGAACCGATAATGTCCTGAACGTTCTCAATAATCTCCTAATGGTGAGACTCACTGGCCTCACCTCTGGGACCCCCTGTCCTCTAGGTCTCCTGCATTCCCTATCACTCCCTACCGCTCACCTTCTGTCTACTATTAGATGCTGACGGTCCCCCGTGTCACATTTCACCTTCTCTTCTAGTCCTACCTGCTTTTCCTGGTTAACCTTACACGGATGCCACCTTTCAGCAGTGGTTCTCAATTCTGCACCACCCATCCTCGCCTCTCTCCTGAGAGCAGTCCTTTATTTAAATCCTCCTACTGGCTATTTTTCACCTCCATTCCCCTCAGACACCTCAAATGCAACCTGTCCAAACTTAAGCTCATTGTCGCCCTCTCTAAAACTTGCCCCTCTTTTCTTTATCCCTGTAGATTAGTGACATAACCATTCACTCAAGCCAGAAATCTTATTGCTTCTCTCCAACTTCTTCTTGCCATTCATTCAACTAACCAGATGTCAGATTCCACTGCAGCTCCCTCAAAGCAACTTTCCAGATCAAAGAGGAAGCCCAACACCACTCTGCTGTGTTTCAGCAGGGACTGCTTATGTCCAGGTCATCCCAGGTGGATTCCTGCCTTGGATCTATCTGTTCTCCCCGCCTGCAGAACTGCTGCAGAGCTCTGCATCATTCTAGAGAATAATCTCAGCGCATATGCTCACTTCTTCCAGGCCTTGGCATGCTTCTCAGCGCCACTGCAGGGGGCGGGATAACTCGACAGACGTCTATCATCGCTCGTCTCCTACTACGCTGTTGGCATAGCCTTCAGATCTTCACCCACCCAAAGGGTGGTCAGCAGTGACATCATGGGAAATTTGTTAAAATGCAAAATCTCAGGCTTCACCTCACACTTTCTCATAAGAATGACTCCGGCACACATCAAAAGTTTGAGAAGTGCTGATTAAATGCTTTATATGCACTGAATTTCTCAACTCCCAAGCCACATCACACCCTTTCAGATCTCCAGGTCTTTGCAAAAGCTGTACCATCTGCTGGGAATGTCCTATCAAACCTTCTGCACCTTGCAAAGTCCTATAGTACTGTACGGGCACCTAGCACAGGCACAGTCCATAGTAGGCCATAAATATCTGAATGACTAGATCATTTAATCAATTAATTCAAGGATGAGCTCAGCTCGGGGCTTGCAGAATCTGAGGTACTAAAGTGCATTCAGGTGGAAGGTGAACGTTAGGCAGCTGGAAATATTGGCCCAGAATTCAAAGGAGAGGTGGGCTGAGCTGGCAATATTTTTAAGTCACTAGCAACTATTTGGACATTACAGAAATGGATAAATGAAGTCACCCAGGTTTAAGACGGAGTCTGAGAAGAGGACTATGAGCCAAATCACTGGGAAGCCTGACACTTAAAGGAGCTATTGTAGAAGACAGTGAAGAGCAGGTTAATAGGGTGGGAAAGAACCAAAATAGTTGTCAAGTTGCTCCAAGTGGGGCTGGCCCGTGGTGTAGCCGTTAAGTTCGGCACGTTTCACTTTCGCAGCCCAGGCTCTTGGGCTTCCCCACTTGTCAGCCACACTGTGGCCGCAACCCATGTACACAGTAGAGGAAGATTGGCACATAATGTTAGTTCAGGAATAATCTTCCTCAGCAAAAAAATTGAGCTCCAAAAAAGATAAATGGATTTGCCATATGGTTATTGTTACCTTTGTCAACAGAAGCAGGGGAGTGGAACAGAACAATGACATCAGATATAAAGCGGAAGCTTAACTTCTCTAGACTAACAACTGAATGAGACAAAGCTAATGGAATGATCCCTGCAAGGGACATCTTTATTGGACGAGAAGGGAAAGACAGACGCAACTGATAAAAGTTGTATCATATAAACAGCCCTAGTGGTAAAGAAGTTGAAAACTTTCAGCTACACAACATTTACTAACACTTGCTATCTACCCGGTGCCACAAGCTAACACTGGGACTAGAACAATGAACAATGCAGGTAATGCCCCTGCCCTCTGACCTGGTGCAATGAGATAAACTGAGTAATTGATGGACACCACTAAACAGATAGGGTAGGGAGTCAATGGAGGGTGGCATGCCTTGGAAGAGAAGCAAGCTTTGCTCTGATGGTTGGTATAATGGCAGGACTGTACATAGTAAGAGAGAGGTATATCGAGTGGATAAAGTTCACATCAAATAATCTTCATTTTTTTATGTAAAGGAAAAGACTCCAAGAAAGCAAAATGATAAACATTTCACTTTGTTCCTCAACAACTCCAAGACACTAGGATCCCCATTCTTAACACATAAAACACCTGATGCACACTGAGAAGACAGGTCTGCTGCCATCAAACGGCTAACAAGAGGCCAGGAGACCAGAATCACTGGCCAGCACTTTTTTAGTTCTGCTCATGTTGACAGCGTGAAAAACAGCAGCATCACAAACTCTGACAAGATCCCCAGGTGATGCTGATGCTTCTGGTCCATGGGCCACATTAGTTTACAACACCAGACAATGCCCTGGATCCTCGCATTCTCACAGTAGTGCCTGAAAGTATTCGACTAAGATCAAGACATGAAAGGGCTAATAATAAAAGCCTTCAGTACTTGGCATACAGTCAAACCAAGAGCAGGTTCTTTATAAATGACAGATAACTAGTGATAGAAATTTGGGATGTGATTAGAGGTAATCAGAGGAAAGTGGCTGCGGTAAGAGGTAGAATAGTACAGTGGTAAGACCAAGGATGAAGGAGCAAATCGGTGACCTCGGAAAGTTATAGTACCACTCTGTGCCTCAGTTTCCCCACTTGTACAACAGGCTTATCATAACACACACCCTCTAGGGTTGCTGGGTAAATTGAGTCAGTACACACAAAGCACGCAGAGCAGTGTCTGGCATTTAATAACCACTCAAGCAAGGCTTTAATTTTACTACTATTCCTACTGCTCTACTACTCCTCCCACTACTACTCGGAGTAGCATGACTTGTTATGTTGGCAAGAAAAACGCATCAAAAGGAGTTCCCCCAGCAACCCAGAGTATACCACAGAACTCTTTACAACACATATGGACAGATGGAGAAAGATCTACCACTGACAGCACTGCAATTTTTAATACGTAAGCCTCCGCCCCGTTTTGCGAATTGAGTTACCACTCAAGTTCACAGCAATGAGTTTCGAAAATGGCAACAAGTATCTAAAGAAATACTCCAAGCCATACATCAGTTACATAGTTTTTGAGTTGTGTCCTAAACTGGAATATTGGAATTACAAATAGTTTTCTTGCTTACCCGGCCAGGAGACAACTGTTCTTTAATGAGATGCTCACTGTAACCTAGTGTACACTTTATGAACAGAATGACTCTAGATGTATCAAAATATTCTTGATTGAGATGGTGCCTACCAAAGTGAGGCATCCAAAAAAAGTGAAATCCAGACAATTATCCAGATATCCCCAGAAAAAAAATTCCTCTACATAGTTTATGTTCTTCCACTTTTCTGCTTCGGATGTAAGCTAAAACATCTTTTTCCACAGACAACACAAATAATGCCTTCTCAACTTCAACTTCAGTTTAGTCTCTGACAAAACAAAGGTGGGAACCTGTCACGTAAACTGGTTACCAACCCTTCATCTTTTCCAGAAGCTCTACTTGGGAAATTTCAGCCAAATCTAAATGATATGTATCAAAAAGGTGGAGACAGTGCTATAGACTGAGATCGAAATTAGACTTGTTAATAGAATGTTGATCCCATGAGTAATGCTCACAGCTGTGGCATCCAACAATGGAATTAACATTTCCACAGGAAGCAGAGAGCCATCCCAACAGAAAGGACCACCCGATCCTGCTTTGGAGCACTTAAAAAAAAATTATCCTTCCGGAGGCTACAAGAAGTGTGCCTCCTAGGGTCCCACCTATGGACTTTTTTTTTCTTAATGAATCATATGGTTCCAAAATGCGACAAGTGCTTACTCTGACCAACAAGATCAGCTGGTTGAAACACTGACATGAAAACACATCAGTTTTGCTAAATGTCAAACGATTACGCCTTCTAATGGTCCACGCATTTTTCAAATGCCTTTTTTTCCCTCCCGAGAAAGGCGCAGTCGAAAAATGTACTCGGCAATTCCTTTAGGAATTACCCTGTACAAGTCAGCCTGTCTTATCTTCAAAATGAACCAACTCATTATAAACTCAAAACCGAGATTACTAATTACTCCTTTGCACTTTGCTCCGGGACTGCGGAAACCAATATCGCATTTTTGCAGGAACCTACTTTGGATTTTCCACGGTCTGCTCGATCGAGTTACCATCCAGTTAACAGCTCGTGCCTGGGCTCGCCTCCCCTACCCGATCAAGCTTGGACGATCCGAGGCACCGAAAACCTCAGTGTCCATTTAATCATGGCGTTTGTAATTCAGCCTCCCCGCCTGGACTGCTCGACACCTGAAAACTTGCCCGCCCAAGGCTTTTGAAATCGGGTAACCCTGCACAGACTCGACACCGCGGCGAACAAGGGAAAGGGCAAGGCAAATAAAGCAGAGCCCGCACGCGCGGCAAAGAATAGCCTGGGAGGGACGCCAGGCGCACCGGGCACGTCGCGCCCACCCACCCGCCCCCCGGGAGCCCCTCCACCAAAGCCCGCAGCCCGGGGCTCGCCCGCCCGCTCCGCCGACGCCCCCCGGACACCCCACGCCCCCGCAGGGGTCCCCTCGGAGGCGCTCCACCTTCCCGGCTGGCGCGCTCGGCCGCGCAAAACCAGCCGGGCGCAATCCCTGCCGCACCGCCACCCCCGCCGCAGCGCCCCCAAGGCGCGCCCGCCCCCTCCCCCACGCTCATTGTTCCCGGGTGGCCGCGGGCTGCCAGCGCCCCAGGGCTCCGCCCGCAATGGGGACCCTAGGGACCGCAATGCCTCCCACTCACCCGCGACTCCGCACAGGAGCACGAAGCGCAGCAGAAGCGCCATGGTGGCGGCCCGGCCGTGGGCGGCGATGGCAGGTAGGCGGCTCTCACCCGCGGTCTCAGTCACTCTCCGGCTCGCGCGCTCCCGACTGGCTGGCGGCGGCTGCACCTCGGCACCCGCGTCCACCCCGCCCTCGCTTGGCAGGTGAAACACGTCACTTCCGGCAGTGGTAGCCCCCGCGGCGCGCGCCGCTCCGCCAGGCGCGTGGGGTTGCCGTGGCAACCGAGCGCAGAGCGCCCGCTGCTCCCAGGAGGGTTCTGAGCAGGGAACTCCCGGCCGCAGCGCTCGGCTTGGGGGCGGTCGGCAGCAGCTCGCGGAAAGCGTGACCCGGGCTCCTCGCCTCCGTGTCTTTAGGCAAATCCACGTTTGTGCGCGGGCCACCCCTCTCCCCAGACTGAAACTGAACTGCAGTCGCGCCCGCCTGCCCCGGACCCTGGAGAGCGCTCATGCAGAGCGCCCGCCTGCACTCACCCCACCTTCGTCTCGAGGTACAGCGGGGTGCAGGCCCCCAGCCACGCGTCCCACCGCTGGCGATTTGCTGCTGCAGGGGCGGGGTCTCCCACCTAAGGCTCTGGAGGAAGGCAACCGGGCAGCCTCCAGGATTGGCTCCCATCTCATTGAGTCGGATGGCCTCATGTAGAAGGCTTGAGAAGGCTTTTCCCCATCTCCAGTAATGACTGAAACCCTAAAGTGCAGCTGCGGATTTGGGAAATACCCGGATTGGGTTTTCCCCCCTTGTATTTAAGGTTATTCTAGCCGTGAAATTGATCAATAAGACCAGCGAGCTTGAAAAGTGGGGCTAGGTAGGGGTGGTTAAAGGCCTGGGGGGAGGAGCTTAGGGGGCGGGGCATTAGGGATCTTGAATCGCCCGGTCAACTCTGCAGAGTCGCTTCTGCCTCCTGGGGCCCTCCATACTTGTTCTTGTGTGATTTTGCTGCTTGTTCTCCGTTGTTCTTTCTAGATAACGTTTATTTATAACAGCTGAGAGACGGGTGTTCCCGACAGTTCCGTGTCAGAGTGAATTAAAAGAGAGCGGTGTACAAGAGCGACAAATGTTGGAGAGGTTGTGGAGAAAAAGGAACCCTCATACACTGTTGGTGGGAATGCAAACTGGTACAGCCACTATGGAAAACAGTATGGAGATTTCTCAAAAAGTTAAAAATTGAAATACCCTATGACCCAGCCATCCCATTACTAGGTATCTATCCTAAGAACCTGAAATCAGAAATCCCAAGAGTCCCTTGCACCCCTATGTTCATCGCAGCATTATTTACAATAGCCAAGACGTGGAACCAACCTACATGCCCAGAAACTGATGACTGGATAAAGAAGATGTGGTATATATACACAATGGAATACTACTCAGCCATAAAAAAAGACAAAATTGGCCCATTCACAGCAACGTGGATGGACCTCGAGAGTATCATGTTAAGCGAAATAAGCCAGTCAGAGAAAGATGAACTCTATGTGACTCCACTCATAGGTGGAAGTTAGTATATTGACAAGGAGATCTGATCGGTGGTTACCAGGGAAAAGGGGGGGGGTGGGGGGAGGGCACAAAGGGGGAAGTGGTGTACCCACAACATGACTAACAAAAATGTACAACTGAAATCTCACAAGGTTGTAATCTATCATAACATTAATAAAAAAATTTTAAAAAAATAGAGCTAAAAAAAAAAAGAGAGAGAGCAGTGTAGCGCAGTGGGTAAGCTCTCCGGCTCCGGGATGGGGCAGGAACTGGGCAAGTAGCTTAGAAACAGCACCTACTTCAGGGGTAGGTATGAAAATTAAATGAGATAATGCACAAAAAAGTGCTTGGCACCGTGCCTGGCACAAAGTAAGTGCTCAGTGAGGTGAAAGCTAACAAAATAATATTGGAAAATTATTATTATTTCTTAAGCCAGCAAAGAGAAAGTAAATCAGTTGTCAGGATGACTAAAATTGCGCGCCCGCGGTTTAGCCTTGTGGTTTACAGCCCTGGCTGCATAGTAGAATGATCTGGAGAACTTTTACACAATACCAACACCTGAGCCCCGACTCCGGCGATCCTGATGTAACTTGCCTCCCGTGGAGTCCTGGCTGATCTAAAGAGAATCCCGAGTAACTGCTGGGGCTTCCTATTAGTTAAGGAAACGGGAATCCTACTGGATGGAATTGAAGATATAAAATATTTGGAACTTAAATTTTTACTCATCACATTGTACTGTATGACATTAGAAAAGATTAAGCCCTGAAGTTGTTCATATCGATTTCAGACTGTTTTAAGAGAATGTTTCTAGTATTAATCAGTTCAAAGAAGCATTTGTTAGAAAGTTGCTACCCTGTCTCCTCCAGTAGACACGAAAATCACCCTTCTGGAGTCATCTCAGCCACTTCCTAGAGGAAATCTTAAGATGAAAAGGATTTTCATCTCAATCCTCTTTTTTTTTTTATAATCCTTACCTTTTGCCTCTGTCTGTGGTAGGCATTTTCATACCTATCAATCACTTCTTTTACTTGGAATATTTCTGGAAAGCCAAAAAGGCACATTATTCATGTCTTTCTTGGAAGCACAGCCCATAGTAGGTTCTCTGGTATTTGTTGAATTGAATATACTCAATTGATGTATTAATTAATATATTGACTGTATTAATAAAAAATATTTAAATATCCATGCAGTAACTCACAAATCATTACATCTTAATATATCTTTTTAGAATGTACTTTTAAAAATGTAAATTTTACAGAATTAATGTTATATACTTTTTTAGATTACTGAACACAAATTTTTCCAAATGTATTATCACTGAGATTAAGTAACTTTGAAAGGATCAGTCTATCTTATTTAGGGAACTATTGCTCTTTAAAAATTTATATTAAAAGGGCTGGCCCAGTGGTGTAGTGGTTAAGTTCCTTTGCTCTGCTTTGGTAACCCAGGGTTCAGATGTTCGGATCCCAGGCACGGACCTGTGCACCGCATGTCAAGCCATGCTGTGGCAGGTGTCCCACATTTAAAGTAGAGGAAGATGAGCACAGATGTTAGCCCAGGGCCAGTCTTCCTCAGCAGAAAGAGGAGGATTGGCCGCAGATGTTAGCTCAGAGCTGATCTTATCAAAAAAAAAATTACATTAAAGATGAGAAAAAAGGGAAAAAAGTTACATGAAGTCATCTTTAGACTTTTCTTTGTGACTACATTATTTCATATAAGCAATAGCTAAAATTACACAGTTACCTGAAACTTCTTAATGACACCTTAAAAAGCCTTTGTGGCTATTGTCAGCTTGGAAATTATGTCTCCTGGAAGCTATCCTGAGATGATCTCATTAATTCTGGAACGTACAAATTATTGATTGTTTGGTGTCCTCAAACCTAGCTAATAAGTAGTGCATAGCCATTAAATGAATTGCCCTGTCTTCATAAATCACCAAGCCCTCCCCGTTGTATAGCCTCTAAACCAGCAGAAAGGTGGTTCCTGGTCCATAGAGAAGGTGGTAATTATAGAGACATAAATAACTCTGTGGTTAACATAGCATCTGTCCTTACAAAGATTTCTTGGCAGTAATGGGTTTGTCAGCCCACCTACAGATTGTTAAAATTCTGTGACCACGTTCAGAGATTGACTTATACTTAAGAAGTAAAGGATTTTCACCTCTTTCCAGCCTAGAATATGAAGGCATGTGAAGCAAGAAACTTTCTTTCATATACAACACTGCTGATTTTTATATTTTCTGGAAAATGATTATGCTGTTCTTTTTATTGTTTTTGCTGAGGAAGATTTACCTTGATCTAACATCCGTGCCAATCTTCCTCTAATTTTTAGTATGTGGGCCACCAGCACAGTGTGGCCGCTAACGGAGCGGTATAGGTTGGCGCCCAGAAACAAGGCCCAGGCCGCTGAAGTAGAGCGCCCAAACTTAACCACTAGACCACCGGGGCTCGCCCTGTTAATGCTCTTCTTAATAAGAAATGAAGCTTCCTCATAAGTGTGTTCTGCTTAGCTTACCCAAATATTGATTTTATGGTTTAATACCATCCAAATCAACTATTTACTGCTAAGCAAATGAATTATAAATACATGCATTTTAAGGTTTATGACATCTATATAATATTTACGTCAACCCTTAGCCAGTGACCCAGAATTTTTTGTAAGATTCCTAATAATGCAGATTACAAAATGAGTCCACAAAAGTGCTAAGTTTATGCAGACCAAAACTGAGGATTTTATTGATGGCCTTTTTAAGTGTTCTCATCCAAGAATAATGTGTTTTGTCCAATTGCTTTCTTCTCATTGTTTTGGTCTCTGTCACTCCATACTAGTTGCTTTCCTTCAATTTCCACTGATTCATGGTTTTCTGCTCAAAAGTTAAAGGAGGGCAGAAAAAAAGAAGCATATTGAAAGTTTTTGGCTTGTAGGTGATACTTTTCTATGGGGTCAATTTGAGGAGACACCCAGGAAAATTACTTTTATGGGGCCAGCCCTGTGGCGCAGCAAAGTTCATGCATTCTGCTTTTCCGCTGCCCAGGGTTCGCCGGTTCGGATCCCGGGTGCAGACATGGCACCGTCAAACCATGCCATGGTAGGCGTCCCACATATAAAGTGGAGGAAGGTGGGCACGGATGTTAGCTCAGGGCCAGGCTTCCTCAGCAAAAAGAGGAGGACTGGCAGTAGTTAGCTCAGGGCTAAGCATCCTCAAAAAAAAAAAAAAAAAAAAAAATACTTTTAGAAAAGACCACTAATATCCAGCCTCAGCTTTCTGAAAGGATGGCTGGAAGAGTACTGGGGGCATCAACTTCAGTATATAAATCCCTGTATAGACAATACAGTCTCCCCACCGTAACCCTGCTTGATATCCTCTGTCCAAATGCCTTCTTTTTATGCACCGAGTCTTACACCGGCTCACCAAAGGGGTAAAGGTGGGATCTCAGTGTTTAACTTCTTTTTAAACTCACTTTGAACCAATTCCCCTGTTTTAGCCCCACCTTCATCCTACTCTTAAATGTGCCTGAAGCCACCAAATCCTCTTTGAAAGTTTACTTTGACCACAGCTGGCTTAGAAGTCAATTTTCTTGAGCGCGGAAAACTTTGACCCCTCTGCTTTCCAGTTT